AAAACCATTTTCTAGTTTTCCTTTTTCGAATATTGGTATAAATTATTATAAATAGACAACTAATATAAAACCAATAGGATTATTTTGAAACATAAATTTGAAATTGTTTTTTCTATAACAATAAAATAATGTCACAAATGGCATTATTATGAAATAGAAACAACTTGTGTTCATTTTTAATTTTTAAGTTTGAATATAACGAATGATATTATATTATGATACTTATTATAATATATTAACTACAACCGATAATATTTTTTATTACTATATATTACATTGCCTTCATTTTTTTTTTTATTTATACTATATCAAAAAAATTAAAAGATTTAATTGCTGAGTACATTTGTTACATAATTGCACAGTTTTATAAGACAATAAGTAATATTATATCATATAAAATTATATTTGCAAAGGTGATAACTGCGGTAGAATGAAAGTTGAGGTGAAGATAAATACCAAGAGAAGTATATCAGAATAAAAAAATAATTAACTGATATGTAAATTGTATAATTGATATGGAATAAGTAAATGTTATATACATGTTGGTCTAATACATTGATGCTTATAAATTATAATTGTAATGGTCAGTGGTCAGATATTATTATACATGACATGCAAACATTATGGACGCTACAAGCCCACAAACAACATCGAAATGTCAACTAACTATAACACATTTTATTTTAATTCAAACAGAAAGTTATCATTATAAATTACGTAGGTAGTCATATTTTTTGGATTTGTTCGATAATAGTACGAGTGTTGTGTGCACATTTTCTTATTATGATAAATTAATGACGGTTACCGTCGTAACGGTCAAACAGTACTTATAACAATTTCGGTTCCAATCGAGTTAATGACAAAATAAAAAAAAAATCATACGTTTTTTTTTTTTTTTAATTTAACATATTTTTTAAGCATGCTAATAAATGTAAATATAAGGTTTGTATAAAATATTGATATTTAAAAACACTTTGTTACATCCTTACTGTTCTAAAACTATTTTTACAATAAAACCATAGTAATGCATTTTAATTTTAAATACTATCTAAACGTAAATTATCAAATGGGTATAATAAAACATAACCAATAATTAGAAACCAAATATTAACTTGATAAAACATTATCAGTATATTCCACCTGGTTGTATCAAATTTTAAAATATAATATGATGCAGAATCAATATGAATATGAATATTGTACTTAACTATACTGTTGAAAATTAAAAAAAAAAAACATTAATTTAAACATTTTATCATAAAAAAAATACTAGAAATAATTTAACCTCTTGAATTAATTATTTAAATAAAAATAATTCCACTTTATTTGGTATAAAATTTAATATTCAAACGAGAAGAATTTATAATTACTGTTTTATTTTTAGTGATCGTCGCAAAAGTTAATCGTTTAATAAATAACAACAGGTACAGCTTTATATTAAAATTCATATTTTAACCAGTAAATTTATTTTTCTGGTTAACGTGTAACTTAATTGAGTATTTAAATATATATAAAAACATTAAACATTTCATAATTTATATATATTTATATATAGGCATTAAAAATTACTAAAAAATAAAAAGTAGAAAGTTATCATTGAGCGACATCTCATCAATAAGATTTACAACACATATATCTGTAATATGTATCCCAGAGGGAAGAGTATTGTCATACATTACTTTTTAGATTTAAAAATATTATTTCAGATTATTTTTTTATTCTGTTTTTATCTGGAAAAGTCGACTTTTAACTTTTAATAAAAGTATAAGATATTTATTTTTTTTTAATTTAATTCTTAAAAATCAATAAAAAAAAAAAAAAAACGTATCTTTTTAAACTTATAGGTAATTTCTTTTTTATTTTAACGTATATAAACTTCTGTGATAACCTTGAATAACAATGTAGTTACAATAATATTTCTTTATTGTATTTTTAAGTCTAAAACTTTCTTACTGATATAAAATGTTGACATAAAATGTGTCGGATGAATGTTTATATTACTTCTTTAACCATTTTATGGATTTATTATTTTTTTTTTATTAAGTACCTACCGCATTCAGCTACATACTCGTATATATGTATATATTAAATTGGCTCTTTATTAATATTAACTATACACTATAATAAAATTGCATTTGTCTTAAAACTTTTGTTGTATTTGGTTAAACTAAAATTAAGTATATATTATTATTTATTATTAGTATATTAATCAATAATTTATTTAAATACCTACTTAAAGATATTTATATTATTGATAGATTTATGGGCCCATAACTCTTAATAATAAAAATAAATTTATTTTATCATCAAAATTGAATAAATCAAATAATAAATGATACTAACAGAATCAACATTTCAAAAAGTATACTGACATTAGACGTAATACGAGTACATATTTATATCTGGTTCTTAGTCTTACCTATATCATCACAACTTTACGATCATAGTTCGCTTTATTATTGTAAGTATCAACTATTCATTAAACATATTGTAAAACGTAAACTTTTATTTTAATATGTATCGCCAATTAAAATTAATTACCAGACCCGCAATTATTAAGTTTCAATTTTACGGATGAACACTTTTATCAAGAATATATATTCTAATAAACTTTCTATATCACATAATAGTAGACGATGATACGCCATTCAATACTGTTTGAGCTTCAATTAAATTATAATGAATATATTTGACTGAATACTTTGATTGTTTAGTATGTATTGTCTTATGTAACTTATGCATTAATTTATACTGGTAACTAGATGCTCAAATATAGAAATAAAATGTTTAACAAAAAAAAAAAAAAAACATAACAGGATATTTAAATCCTGACATGAGTGACTATCGAATTATATAACTAAAAAAACAAACGAACCGTGCCATTTTTAATGTTGACGTGCTCCAGATTTTACAAACTCTAAAATAAATAAAAATGTTAGCGCACATCAACACTTCTAAAAGATTAAATATGATATAACGAATAATTATGATGACATTGACAGGGAATATTGTAACCAATGCTTTTAACGAAACGCAATAAGTTCTCGACCTTTGAGAAATTTTGACGACGTTATTTTAAATGAATATGTTTATCTTTTGAGTAGACTACTCAAGTGCATTCTCTCTATATCTTTAACAGACACAGAGTTGATTCAATTCTATTAAAGTGCACTACGTCTCAAACCGTAATTTCGACAAGATTACAACCATGCCTCTACTAAAGTTTGTCCTATTATCTTATATATTAACTTCACAAATAAAACAGTAAATAGATATAGGCGTCGCACATCGTTCGTTTTTCGTAAGACTTTTAATTTTAGTTTAGTTTAAAAATTGTTATTCGTATTAAATTAGACATAGATATAGATGATACAATAACACTTGATAATAATATAACACACCTCAATTAGATGTAAATATATTATTTAAAATCAATAATACACTTTTTTTAAATGAAGAAACGGCGTGACATCCAACAACTTTTAATTTATTATTTTGAGCTTAAATGTGTAGTGAAATTTTAAATTATAATAATATTTTTAATATAATTTCATCAGTAAGATGAGAATGATACGATTGCAATGGTAATTTTTATGTAATATATGTTTATGTTCTATATTTACCATTTGAATTGGACTCACTCGTTTAATTCATGATAAATAAATAGATAAATATAGCTTAAACCTTCGAACCTTAATTAAGTTATCCTGTTACCTAAATAATACTGTTCTACAATCTCACTGTAATTCCAAAACCTGTAAAATACAATTACGATATAAAGACCAATTTATAAAAAAAATATATTTTATAAAAATATAACTGTGTCACAACTGAGGCCATGTTTTTAATTTTATTTTGAATAGTCACGGCCTTTAATACGTATTAAGAAAAAAGTAAGTTTGTTTGAAATGTATTTAATTTTAACCAAATTTGATTAGTACAACAAAATATTATAAACATTATGGAGTCACGCGATGTCAAAAGCATACTACGTTCAATGTCACTTACAATGGGATATATTTCTTTAGAAAAGCAATAAACACAAAATAATTTCATTAAGTCTTTAGTATTTTGAACACGTCATGTTAGTTGTCTTCGATGAAAGATTCTCAAAAATAAGATAGAAAGGTTGGAACTTAATAAACAACATTTTTTTTTATATCTTATTTTGAACAAAACGTATTCAAATGAAAAACTAATATAAAAACATAAAAATGATAAATAACTTTTTACATAATCTAAATAATTAAAATGTTTATAAATTTACATCTAAATATATTTTATTATTAGAAAATAACAGCTTTAAAAATTGAGAATAGTTTAAATTTTTTAATTATTTGTTTATAGAACAATTCAACTTTTTTCTGTTCTTTTCGTTCTTATTTATTTTTTTTTTATTTTGATGTTGTTAGTACTATTAGTCTGCATATAATCTTTATTAACAAAGACCTAAAGAAAAAAATTTTATTAAAATGAAAAAAAAACTTTTAAACTAAACATAATAATTAATAATATAAGATAATATTGGTTTTAAAGGAATAATGACAATTTTAATTTAGATTTTTTTTTCAGCGTAATAACTTATTATTATTAGAAATATTATTTAATACTGAAACAGGTGTCAAGTATTTTTTTCATACAAATAATAAATTAAACAAAATACGAGAGGGTGCGATAATAATTAAAAAGTGGCCATTTGTTACTGACGTTAATATATAGTCTTGAAAATTGAGTATACAAAATATGTATTATTATTATAAGTACGTTGATTTACGATTTACAATTCTATAATATACGTATATGAAGTTGTTTATAGTGATTATGAAAAGCTATCCTATTTCTTTAAATTGATAAACTAGATTTTACTAATATTAGTGCCATGTATTATACATATTCCACGGACAAAGTGGTCAAAGCTTGGTTCTAAAAAAATGAAAAATAATACTTTATTGAAAACAGACAATGAAAATTATAAATATTAAATATAAACGTTTTTTCAGGACTCCTAATGCGATGATGGTTTGAATAATGTATCAGTTGTACCGCATATTTGAGTATGCTGTTTGAAGAACCTTTAAGAAACGACACCTACAACGACAACATTAGGTAAAAACGCTTGTACCTAGAATAAAACATTCAAATAGGCATCAACTTGAGATTGTTAAAATAACGCGTGAGGATAAAAACAAATGCGTGCGTTATGCTCACAAGTACTATAACCGTCACATAGTGGGATAAAATTATACTTAGCTATATAGATCGTAAAAAATATATTGTTTTTTAGTATTCACATAGATATTGAGTATAACATCTGTAACAAATATATGTTGAAAATTAATGACATATGTTTTTCATAAAAATAAATTATAAAAATAAAATTATAAGCTCACTCTCTATCTACATAATTGAAAAATAATAATAATTCAACAATGTTAAACTGAAATTTATTTTTCTTTTAAATAGAAGCTAAAAAATGAGCAATGAACAAGCAATACTCATAATAAACATGAGTAAAATGGTGCGTATTTCTGGGTAAGATCAGATCGATAGGAGAATTTTTAAATAATAGTATTGCTTCCGATCTAAATAGGACCGAAATTTAAAAAGAAAGAATTATGCAAATTTATTATAATAGAGCAATAGTATTTTTATCTACTTCAAACGTTTAAAGATATATGTATCGTATATTTTTACATCCTTACTTACAGAATTTCTCTGATTCTACTGAGGAATATTTACTTGGTTATTTTTAAATTAATGGTAAAAATTAGTTTTAACTGACTAATAATATTATAAACAGAATGACTGCATTAAATCATAAAAGTATATTAAATGATCATATAAATAACCTTAAAATTATTACTATTAGAAATGATTTACATTTTACTTTTAAAATTCTTAAAAAACGTTCAAATGATTTTAAATCCCTGAAAAATAGTGAAAAAGCTTGCCTCGTAGAAATCCTTAATTTGAAGGAAATATGGAAAATAATAGTTATACGTAGAATACGTACTATTGGCGCGAATTCAACAGGACAATAGTTTGGAAACAGCTAAAGGAAAGATAATTTTAGAAAATACAATAATGAGTTCCGCTTCCACTTCTATTACAAAATCAATACTTGAAAACTTCTATCAGAATATGGTTTATAGCTAGATAAAATTTCCAAATTGTAAATGAATTGCATAATAGGTACTTGTATCATACGTTAACCATAATGACTTTCTTCGAATTTTTATCCTGTTTATAATAAAAATACTAAAGCATTTAGTGTAATAAAATAAATAATATTATTAAATAATGTGTTTTTTTTTTTTTTGAAAGGATATGTCCTGTTGAAACTTAACCTGAATCTTAAACTTACATAATTGTGAAAAACAATGTTTCATCATATCAGTTGAATCTAAAATTTTTATCATTAAATGAAGAACATGAGTAAAATATATTACTACTTGATAAATTGTATATACTATACAAGAGAGATAGAAATATCGTTACGCGACTAACTGCAATTAAATCAAGTGTGCAATCATGTGAATGTTTTAGTGATTAAAGTCGATTTTGAATAGGTTTTTTTACATAGCCACAATTGTATCACTGTATATGGCTTTCGTCGGAGACAAGATTTGAATTCCCAATATGTTATAGGTAAGGCGTGTACAATGCATTATAACCATCAAGTACACCCACCGTTACAAGAAAATGAAATTCCGCATTTTGAATCAAAAACTTTAACCTTATACCATGATGTCACTGTCCCATGTATACTCCATTGATCACGTTATTTCATATTAAATATGCTCTTATATTTACGATGAGCTGGAATACCCAGACTATTATCGATTTTATTAATATTATTCCATTTTCATCTAAGGTTTCAGACTGCCAACTTTATAAGCAATAATATCACATGCAAATTGCACGTGACGAACCGTTAACAATATTTAAATTTTCTTAGACTTTTCAATAATATTTACAGCTTTGAAAGTTAATAAAAAGCAAATAATTATGATTTAAAAAATTATTTATAATTATTTTTTTTTGTTTTTGCTGTGACAAATGATTGGAAAAAAATAGGATTAAATCAAAATGACAATGTGTAATTTATTAGGAAGAGGAAAATGTATATCTAACATTATTTTGTAGGAAATATTACCTATGAAAATTAAAAAGAGAAAAGTGTACAGATCACTTTAAAGTTTAAATGTATAATAAAATGAATTCCACGAAGAGGGTGCGAATAATTTTGTAAGTCATGCAGATGCCTATAATTTATTAGAATCAAAAATATGTATTAAGTGAGACCGACTCGGTAGGTAAGAGACAGAAGAGATGCATATCTTGGGTAAATCATATTTAATTTAAGTAGATATTCAAACGAGCACTCGTAACCTTACGGCAGAGTTCGACTATTACGCACACAGACATCCGTGGCGTACGCTGAAAATAATACTATAACTACTTCTTTTATCATTATCAGTGTTTTTTTTTTTTTTTTTTTTTTTTTTTTTTGTTATTTGGTTTTGTCACTATCACTATATTTTATATTAATAATGTTATTTTAATATCGTTGACGTTTACCGTGTTTCTGGTTTTAAATAGTTACGGCAATAACTACAGTTTACACGATGACCCGTGGGGCCCAAAGAGAGACCCGCTACCGGTTGTCGTGCCCGTCACGATCATCTACACGCTGATATTTGCTACAGGCATCGTAGGAAATGTGAGCACGTGCATAGTGATCGCCCGAAATAAGTACATGCACACCGCCACCAATTACTATCTGTTCAGCCTCGCCGTGTCCGACCTGCTGCTACTGTTGTCCGGATTGCCGCAAGAAATTTACCAAACATGGTCCAGGTATGATAATCAATCCTGGTATTTTCGCATTAGCGAGAAAAAAATGTTTTTATCTCGAATAATTATAGAGTGTATGAGTGTAATAAATACTGCCGTCGCACCCATCACGTATTAACGATAATATCCAGGATAGTATACGTGCGTACCTATAAGTATCGTTTGCCATTAATTTCTGATTGAACCGCACACACTCGCCGGTCAATTTGATGCCATGATGACGTTCATGGACGTAGTAATCGTTTTCACAGTATATAAAGTGTATTTAGGCGGATTATTAGTGCCACTAGAGGGGCTGTGGGCCTAGCTCCTCCCACCGAATTTTTTTTTGATCGCACGACATGGAGAAAAGTATGATAAATAGCAGCGTAGGCATTATAAATAAATGTGCAATAGTTTCAAATCGTAGCAGGAAAATGATCATCATTATATTTATTAATATTATGCAAATAAAATTATTATTTATATTTATTTTAATTTATTATGAACAATTTTTTCACAAATAAAATTTAATTTCTAAATTTTTAAGAACCTACAATGTGTACAATATCGGTATGTTAATTTCGTTATTTATATACATAAAACATAATATTTAGCGCGTAGTGCGCATTAGTGAGTAACGAGTCTTATTTACGAGTAGTTTTCAATTAAATTTCTTGCAATATTTTGAAAACGTTACACAACCCATTTATATGAATAATATTTGTTCTTTGTGTTTGCTAGTAAATGTAAAATATTATTTCGTGACAAAAATTTGTAGGTGAAATTAAAATTAGTATTTGATTTATTGCTTAACACGTCAGTTCTTACTTATATGTTCAACATACATTAACAACGATAAAACGGTCGCATAATTATATATATGTTCTAACGATTAAAATTATACTTCTCTTAGACAGTTCAAAATATATTAATGTAGCTTATAAAAATTTAAATCGTTATCAAAAAAATATCCACTGTTGGTACATCATTATTATCCATTTTTAAAATCTTCGCTTTCCTCAGAAAATTTATAAACGAACAAAAATAATGATACGGATTTTAATATCTTTGATTTCTATCAAAACATTTTTCATTAACAATATAATATTGATTATTTTATCTTGATAACGTTATTCTTATTTAAATAACTGTAGTATTTTATTATATTATATTCAAATGATAAAATTTATATTCTAAATAAAAAAATAAATAAATAATTTATTAATTTATATATATAATAAGATAATGTACCCTCTAGATACTTTAGTGGTTAGGCTGTTAGCTTAAAATTATAAATTTTTTTTAAACATGTACACAGTGATCCTGTTATTTCACAATTACACAATAAAATTCATTATTTTCAATTTTGGAGCATATATCACAAAACACATTTATATTTTTTATTTTTGCGTACTGTTCCATATACGCAGCTTTTAAACATAATATACAGTTTATATTCTACACTAACTTACTAAACTTTTTTTTTATTTTTAAAATTTATACAAACTTATTACTTATTAACTTTTATTGATTTCCAAAATTTTTTAACAATTATCCACACATTTTGTCCCTAAAATACTACAAAGACGTCTAATGTTATTTTTAAACACATTATGGACCATATTTTTTCCTTATTATTTATATTATTCATGACAGCAACTTTTATTATTTATACTCATCTATAACGTCAGATATTATGCAATAAGTTCAGTAAATATTTAGATTATAATGACTAGATGGTTATTACAATATTGATAACATCAAGTATGAACTTTTTCTGGTGAATTATCAGTCTTCAGTTTGCCCGTTAGATCACTCTGATAGAAAAAGTAATAAAAATGAAAAAATAATGTATCATTAATAAATTAATTGATATAATTATCGTAACTAGACACAGTACAAGTAAATCTAACTCCATCAAATAAAATTGTTGTGTTTTAAAACAAAAATATTATTCATAAGAATTATGCATAACACAATTTTGAAATTCTGTTCATAAAATATTTAAACAAAATTAAAACTATCATTTTTTTTTTCTAATTGAATTCCGTTCTAATTTTTAAAAAAATAATTATACATAGGACATTTGATTTAATTATAGTTACAAAATACTCTGAAATGATAAATTATCTACGGGGAAAATTGCATCAAAAATAACAAATAATAAGTGTATGAAGAATAACAAATAAAGATATAATAGTTTTAAAATAATATATCATTATAAAACATTCTCGTACTTGACCGAAAAAAACTTATAAAACAGTGCCTCAGGGACGCATTGTATTTTTAATTTGTATAACTGCAAGTCGTCATATATAAACTAAAAAAAATTTTAAAATTATATAATTTAAGGGTGATGTGTATGAATATGTATATATTGATTTTAGCGCTCTTCAATGACATAAAAAAAATACATTTGAAAAGATTACATACGTTTAGGTGTAGAATGAAAAGCGAAACTTGATTAGACACGAAAAGAGGAATAATTTATACTAATTAAAGACTAGATCGGATAAAGAAGCATTATGTTTATATTTTACGCAATCAACAGAAGATAATATCAAAGTGATTATTTACACGTAAAAACACAAAAACGATTTTTTTTTTTTTTTTTTATCATAACATTCAAAAAAAAACAAAAGATTATTTATTACGCTTCATCATGAAAATAATCAAAATAAATAATAACAAAAGCGCAAACCTTAAATTAAATAAAAATATTTGTTTGTTTAATTAATTGAAAAATCGAGTATCTAAATAAAGTTATTTAACATTACTTAAATGTATACATATTTTCATATGCATCAAAAATGTTGCATGATTTTTCAAAAATAACATATTAAATGCAGTATAGTTTATATTTTTACCTAGACGATTTTATTATTGTTTTTATATATATTTATCTTTGTTTTTCGTTTGTGTAATTTAGTAATTAATTTTAATATCTTTAGCTCAATCACAAAAGAATTAATGAGTGTCTTTTTTTGTAAATATTTAAATATACAAATTTTAGACACTTGCATTTTAATTAAAATATATAGCTAACTATGTTTAAGTATATAAATCAGTATAGTATATATTCCAAAAGATTAAATATAATTAACATTATTATAATATAAGTGGGTTTAAAATAATTAATTTTATATTAAATTATTAAAAATAAAAACTTATCGAAGTCTTTTTAAAATAATTCAGTAATGTTCAAATATTTAAAATATTTTAAGACATTGAAATACAATTTTTGGATTCAAAAATAAACGATAAAAATATAATATTTGTTAAAGACAAAGTTAAAATTACTAAATATTTTATTCCTATTATTTTAGAATAATATTAAATATTTATAAAATATCATGATTACGTCCACATACACGAAGAATATTAAATAATTTACTAGAAAAACTATAAGACAAACAAGATATAAATTTATTACCAACTATATACACTAAAATCGATAATGATGATAGTAATATATAATATTGAAATGTACCAGTTTTATTTAAATTTTTACTACCATTTAAAAAGGATGATTGTATTTTTACTAAATAGTCATTAATATATTTAATATATTTAGGATAGTTCTTGCACATTTTAAGATATTTCGAATGATTTATATTGTGTATATCCTTGTAAAGGATATAAAACGACCTTCCGTGCATCATTACACAAATTATTATCTTTTGAGCTATTTTAAAAACATAAATTAAAAATGCATATTACATAAATATTTATTATATTATTTATAGAAACAATCGTATAATCGTATAATTCGTATGTTATGTAACGGTACTTAATTTAATACTAACATAAGTGTAGTGATTTAAATTTAATTTCGTTCATCGAAAGAAACATAGTATACAGTATTATTAATTTAATATAATATTGCTAATATTGTGTTTTATTTACAATATTGATTATTCACTATATGAATTTTGCAAGTTCTAATGATAACTATTTAAATTAATAATTATGAATTTGTTTTAATATTTTACTTAGTAATTTGAAAAATATAAAAAACTACATTTTTAAAAGTGTCATCATATTTAAATTTACTCATAGTGCAATTAATAAAGACCAATGAACACTTAATTTATGCACAAAGCTTAACATTAAGAAAACCTTAATATTTTTATTTATGTTTATTACTAAGGCAGGGATGTATATTGAAATCAATATTACAACTAATAATTGTGTTGAGGTATTTGTCTCATAGGAATTGTAAATTCAACAAATACCTACATACACATGTACACGTCTAACCTCTCAACTTATTCGAATGGGAAACCTACAGAATGAACTAATACATCACTCAAAATATATATATACATTTCTAACATATTACAAACTATATCGCATAATTATTATAATTAGATGATTTTATAAATTAATTAAATACATCCTAATTATTATTATTATTTTGGTATTTTTTAGGTATCCTTACGTGTTTGGAGAGATGTTTTGTATAGTCAGAGGGTTTGCTGCAGAGACATCGACGAACGCTACTGTGTTAACAATTACAGCATTTACCATTGAAAGATATGTTGCAATTTGTCATCCATTTTTATCACACACAGAATCCAATCTGTCCAGAGCATTCAAATACATATTAATCATTTGGGTTGTAGCGTTAACACTTGCGTTTCCTCAGGTAAATGTGTCTACATGCTTAAAAATTAAATGATTTTTAATTTAAGTTAAATATTTATCGGTGACAATACAATAATTCATATAATAAAAAAATATTAGAAGTCAAAAAAAAAATAAATATTTTGAACTTCTAAATTGTTAATTATTATTATAATATACTTACATTATACAACCGTGTATGAACTTTATAAATTTGTGTATCAAAAAAACAGAAAGATACTCAAAAATTAATAATTTAATATTTTTTGTATTATATATAGATACATTGTAAAAATAATTTCAAGTACATTAAATTAAAGAAGTTCTACTCCGTATAAGTTCATATAATAACTATAATCTCAATAGCCTCAAGTAATAAGATATAAGTATATAAGTTAGGATTTTTAATAAAATATACATAATAACAATATAAAATATATGTATGTATAAATATAAATGTACATGTGATGAGAACATACGAAAATAACTCAAATATTACCCTATCAAAAATAAAAATGTGTATTTGTTCACTGCAACCTTGGCACAAAAAAAAGATTCAACACATCATTTTTATACGTAGGTACCTATATTAAAGATTTTAAAAGTTAGAACATTACAAATATTCCATTTTTGAATTAATGTCTTATTACTTTCAATACAAAAAAAAAAAAACAAAAAAAAATAATAAGCACATTTGCACAAGTTACGTTGTATGAATCTTTATAATATAGAGTATTTCATTCAGAGAGTAAATTTCTTCTTTCATAATAAAAGCTCCGAGGCTTATATTAAAAGCTTAAGCAGAATCTAAGCTACTTCTCGAATAAAACTTTCACACATCAGTGTTTTTAATGATCTTTTATTACATTGTCTCGCCATAGGCAATTGAAAATTTCGTGGCCAGAAGTTTTAAATGAAAAACAATGGTATATAACTTCCCAATTCGTCAAGTTTTTTTCCTGTAAACAAATTAAAAATATATTTACAAATATTTACGTATAGATAATAGATATGTGCGAATTGAATATCTAACCACTATAACATACTCGGAAGTTAAAGGTTTGTTTCGATATTATATTCTTTACCGATACTGCTCCGATGTGGGGAAAGGAGAAAAGTTACAAACCGTATTTCATAAATTATACGAACACAAGAATATTGTCAACGCATACAAGGCTGACCTTCTTAAGTTGCATCTAGACATAACACCCAGTCTATGATGTTGAAACTGTGGATTCATCTGCCAACATAAATTATAAGCGTTGACATATTTCCTTTTATAACTTAAGCATTAGTAGCGATAGATCGACTTATTAAAAACAAAAACAAAATATATGTTTTGTCATTTTAATCATAAAAAAAAAGAATAACAAAAGATAATAAAAAATGAGTTTCACGTAGATTTCAACTTAAAAAACTTAATCAAAACAACGTTTTCTACATTTTTAAAAATTATTAGAACTATAGCAAATTTTATTTAACTATGTTATTAAAAAATTTGCACTATACTTTCAGATAAAACCTCCAAAAAGTTAAAAAAAAAAAAACATTATCACTTAAATTGCTCAACAATTTTAACGACCTATAAATATAAATAATATATTCTGTACAATTATTTTTTTATGTTATAATAGATACTATTTTTATCACCAAATCAAATACTGTTTTACTATATTTTACTGTAGATATAATAGCAGCTCTTTTTTTTGTACACTTCAAAAAATTCAACTATGAGCAAAGTATATATTTTTTAAGGGTATCTAATATTATAATGAAATATTTAAGTTACGTCATGATTATTTCAATAAAAATTAGCGTTTTTTAATATTATCACTAAATGTAAGAACTCATAAATCCATTTCTGTCTAGACCTTACAGTATCATTCTTATTTTCGAAGTTGTATTTACTGTATTTTTCAATATTATTGTTTGATCAACATCGGCAAACATTGATATCTCATACATGAGTCGTATAAGTATATATTCAACAACAGATATAATCCCATAACGTATTCAATAGAATATACCGTTGGTACGATGAAAATAATTTTAATCTATAAAATTCAATTTCCGTATTCGGTAAATGTTTAACAAGTAATGACATCATGGTTGTGGAAATACGTGTACTTGCCAAAAATACAAGTAAATATTCTTTCAAGATCTTTTTATTTTTATCATAATTTGTATAATATGTAATAAGTACCTATAAATGTCTATATGATTTAAAATTATATAGATTTATTCATTTTATTTTTGATAATGATATAGTTATAACTAAATGACACAGTCATAACGGGCTTTTTATATTTTCAACATAATTCGCGATGTGTCCTATGCTTCTTTTCACTGTTCAATGAATCTATTGCTAAATACTAATTGTTTCATTTTAATAATCGAGCTATAACCATAATCACAGATGTGTCAACAAAATATTATCCTGACATTTTTCTTTATGCCACAATTTTGTCAACATCAATGTGGGTATGTCTTGAAATGTGTTTATTTTTGCTTATTCGAACAGATAAAGCTCTTATTTAACAGAAGTATACACCACATAATCTAAAAACTTTAGAAACATTCATAATTTTATACACTTCATAAACGCATATTATATTTTCTTCGATTTAATAACATTTATATTGTATGGTCATAATATTTTATCATCACATGATAAAATTGCATTTTAAATCATTAAATAGAAAACTGACATAAACGTTAAAAACAATAAAGTTATTTGTAATATTTTTTGTTTATCATCGCAAAAACAAAATAAAATTATTAACATTATTTTATTTTACCTATTTAATTCGAACAATTTTTAAAGTATTACTTGCCCCTTAAACTATGACAATTTTCAACAACTAAATTGGTTAAATTTTTCAAATCACTATGTGTATTTTACATTTAATTTAATTTAATAGAACACAATTTAACATAACTGAATAATTGCTAGATTTTATCACAAAATTTGTACAACTAACATTGTTTCTCAATATATATTTCAAAAATAAACAAGAAATTTCAAGAATGTATTGATAAATTGACAATTATAAATTGTTTCTATAAAATTATTGATATGTCTATTATTTTGATGAGTCAAACAAAAATAATGAAAATAAAATATGACAGTTGTTTAGTTTTGTTTATAGTAGTTAAAATAAAAGTCTAAATTAACCAGTATAAAGAAGCAATGCTCTGTATTTTATGGAAAACTGTTTTCGGTTTATTTAACGTTTTAAAATACAAACTATCTGCTTTTTCTAAATGTGAACCGCATTTAGAACCATAAATTACAGCGATGGTATTAACTTTGTTCTTAATTTTATCAACAGAATCTGATTGTTTCATTAATACAAGAAATGAACCTTTTAAAACTTTAACTACTTATGCACTCAAACATTGTTTCCAGACTTATCATTTCATTATACAATGAAAAACCTCCACCGAGTAACGACAGCAAATCCAAACTTTGTCCATTTCCACACATGGAATTTTATATTTGACATGTTCGACCTAATACAAATTTATTACAATAAAGTCAATATAATATGCAATCATAGTTGAATATTTATTGTTTACGATGCTTAAGGTTAGAGCAAAATCCTTAGGCTTTAAAGCGAAACCTGATTTCGACCTATGAATAAACATTTAAATGTCACTTGCATAAAGTTTTTAATTTCCAAACTATTCATATGTTTAGACACCGGTTAATACAATAATCTATTTTAACGTATTCAAACTTAATTTTTAATAAAATTCTATATTTTTTTTATTTTTTTTTTTTAATATACTTTTTATTTTTATAAGTGAACTTAAACTAACTTAATTTTGAAAAATACCAAATAAAAGATATATAAATATGTATAAATAATATGTTGCTTTATTTTTTTTAAACAATTCTATTTAAGAGAGCCTATAAAATAGTCAAACATTTCTATCTCGCTTCAGTATCTAAAATGTGAATAGCGTGCTTTCTATTTCAAACCATTCCTATTTTCTGTACAAAACCAAGAGTCATGATAAAAATATAGTTTATAGTCCAACGCTCAAATCTGTTAGGTAAGCATAACTTTCGCCTGACTCAATAATATAGTTCTCTCTACTAAAGTGTCTAATTATTATTATCGGTTGACCTATGTTTTCAAACCTTTGATTTAGTGCTTTGTTAATTGTAATTTAATTTCCTTACTCGCCAAAACCTTCAAGTGACCATAAAGTTGTTCAAAGAAATTTCATACAAGAAGTATAAATAATTTTACCACTAAAAAACCATAATTTGTAACACATATAGATCATTAATTTAATTAATTATTAACCACAATAATAATACATAACATAATAAATAGTAATAATAATATAAAAATACAAAATCTCAAATAGATCTGATACCTACCTAAATAATTCACAAAAACTTTTGTTTAAATAATCACTTATTTAGAATGGTTCAAAACAATTTAAATGTCGATTAAGTTTTAAAAAATAACATAGACATAATATTTTTACGTAAAATGTCTACGATATATTACTGTTACTGTTAAAGATGCTGATATTTAAAAAAATAAAATAATTAACTATTATACTGTACTTAACTATATACGTTATATACATAATTAAAAATACGTATACCAAATGTATCTGTATTATTATAATAAATTATCATTACACACTCAAATGACTTTCAAATTAAATTATTATTATTATCAAATTTAATTAATTTAATTTAATCAATTTAATTAATTTATAAAATAACTAAAATAATACTTTTCATAATATTATCAAATTAATAATTTAAATATAAATTGTACCGTATTTTGAACTTAAAATTTAAGCCATCATAATTCGTTAATTTATTTCACGACACTTACTGACAAATTAGGGTGAGTTGGATAAAAAATATACATTAACATAAAGATAAAAGAAATAAGAAGTATATCTGTTATTGTAAATACCCTGTGCTTATATAAATTACAAGAATACACATTTAAACCATTAATTAATAAAGTTATTACATTTTAATTATAAAATTTGTATAAGGTATTTACCATTAGTTTTAAATTTGTGCGACTGGTGTTGAGATAAATATTTTTTCATTCCTTTTTTTACTATACCACGTTTTATGTAGTATACTGTATAGCTCGCACGTTAAAAAAATATTTATATTCTAAAGGAGATGCCGCCACGTTTGCTCACGAAAATCCATCAATGTTTAAAGTTACTTGTATCATTTCACGTGGCTCTTTATGGTAGATAAGTTTTCAACAAACTTTTTTCTGTTACTATATCCAATTATTCAAGCGTAAAAATATATTAGTTTACTGATGGTTTTTCGTTGTCCTTACAAGTAATAGATCATATACGTCACACGTGACAAATATTGTTTTTGTTAAACTTTTTTTTTCAATACTCTAAATCAAATTATTTAAAACAAAACGATCAACTTTAAAATACTTAACGTATATTTTCAGCGTGCAAACTTATCTCTTTTTTTCAGCCCAATAGTATCAAGTATTTTTATAACATATTTTATTCATTTTCCTGTGGTAGGATTACACGACCGCTTGACATCACCTGATACTGCACTCTTCCATACTGACCAGAGACCATAACGACTTAGCTATACATGATGGCCAACGTCCCCCAAATCGAATTGACGTATGTAACGATTGACGAAGTAAAGTCATGTATTATGTATTTAAATATTTGATTCGTTGGTTGGAATAATGATGAAACGATCCGATGGCCATTGGACGCGTTATAATATCATGGCGTATAATATTTATGGTATTATACACGGGAAATAAAAAGTCCTGTATTTTATATAATTTAAATACAACTGTCAAAATATAAAATATAATCTACGCATCACTTAATATAGTCTCGTTGACTGTAAATCTTGAACTGCGCTGTGCGTGAAATTTTCGATCCTTAGTGTAACTACACGTATTATAAATAATAACTACACATCCTAATACATATTACAAAAATATGGAAGAATGATATTAACAAATATGATTTGTGTATATAACCGATATTGTTATACTTTGTTCTACATTAAATGAAAATAATTTAAAAGCATTTTTCAGTTTGCATTGGCCACCGTTCAGTTTTATGTTATTTCATTCCGGTAAAATATAAACAAGAGTGCCTAATGGACATGGTCAGACAATTTCATAGTCCGAAGCATTATACCAGTCAACATCCCCGTAATTATTTGAAATATATATTTCTAAACATTTCACATTTCATATAAATATATATATATATTATACATTGTGTGTATATTGAATATTTCAGAATCATAGTACTTGGAAATTGAAACTGTTATAATTTTCATATTTAATAAAGGGCTTTTCGTGTTTCGGGATATGTTTTTAAATGGTGCATTAAGTATATTCAATTATATGTATAAGTATTCACAAATTTAAATCAATTTATATAAACATTTTAAATAAGATATTTATTAAATCTAACTTTAAAATAATAATTATTATAGCATTTATGAAATATTACATGAGTAAAATTTTGTTGAAAATCCTACTCGATATACAAATTGTTATTACTATACACACTGCTATGATAATAGAATAAAATATGTATTATAACAATACAGTCATTGCAGTTATCAGAAAAATTTGTATTTATTTTTTATTCATACAACTTAATTATTCGATGAACTTTTACTCGTTCGGTTAGCATTATTTGTAAAGTTAATATTATTTTTAATATTTTTCTATTTTTATCTGAGGTAGAAAAATCTAAAAATGACAATGTAATGAAAAACACAATGATATAGGATTTGAATTTCCCAAGCCATCCAGACACTAACAATTTGTCTGGTTTCAATAGTTCATTGTGTGCAATCCATGAATGTTATTACTAACATAAAATGAAAACACTGACAAAATTACAGAACAAATGTGTATTAGTGAAATAGTATACCTATATTATAGAAACAAAATACATGGTATTAGAGTTAATTCAATCTGCAATCGTCTTAGGTTTGAAAAGGCAATCGCAATGTCTGATATGACATTATATCGTCTGTACATTATTTATATATATACACGGAAGTTTTTTGATTTGAATACTTATTTCTGAAACTAATAGAAAAAAATATATTTTCTAGTGTTTAAAAAAAATAATATCCATGGTTTGTTTCAAGTGTAGTTTTATAGTATTATATTTATATACACACCGCTGACGAAATGGGTTTAAATCGCACTTTTGAGTCCGTAGTATTGCGCTTAAACTAGTCACGACTGGTTACTGCCTATTTGTCTTGTCGAGACTTAACAAAAAACTTACTTACGTACATTTTTGACGTGAGGGAGAGAGGGGTAACACGGGGTTTTTGAGGTTAACTGCACGCACAACGAGATTTACAAAGTTCTAACAAACAAAAAAGGTTTAACCCCGGCAGGATTGAAGCTCGCGGTTGTGAATGATGGTGGCAATGGGGTTAAAGTTAAGAGCGGTTGTGGGTGAAAATAAAAAATAAATTCACTAGAATCTTTTTTATTTTTTTCATCGCAAACTGCATCGTATGAACAATAATAAGTATCGTTTCTGATTGTGCAGGCCATACAGATGGGACTTGTGTACGCTCGTACACAGGACGACTCTATCATACCCGAACTGTCCACGTGTGCGCTGGCCAACAAACTCCCGTACGCGTTTGAACTGTCTTCGGTACTATTCTTCCTGGCTCCGTGGACACTCATCATCGTCCTGTACATACTCATCGGCCTCAAGCTGTACAAATCTAAGCGCGACTCGTCCAGGACAACATGCTCGGCTCACTGCAGGCACACTGCGTGTTTGAGCTCTACCAATACCAGGGCTACTGGGCGCGTGGTCAAAATGCTAGGTAAGTTCGATATATTACATTGAAATAGATGCACGTTTAATAATTAAAAACGCGTATTGTCAAATAATATATACCGCTTATCGCAAACGCTGTGATAAGTCTCACGTACTGGCGTACTGCGCAGGGCATATCAAATGCATTTTCGTCAAACCTCGGTGAACAATTTCAGTACCAATGATGTAGTTCAGGGGTAGGCAACCCACGGCCCGCAAAGCAGTTTTTGATGGCCCGCACAAAGGTGGTTAATTTTTGTGTTTTACTTTTGTTCAATAACATTTTTCATATAATTTTGAATATTATATAATTATTTTTCCTTTATAAATAAAATCTAATCTAACCGTTTCATAATAGCAATACAATTATAAGTATTATATCATAATAATATGTAATTTTTTTTTTTTAATGTGGCCCTTGATGAACAATTGAAAAAAAAATGGCCCGTGTGGTTAAAAAGGTTGCCGACCCCTGATGTAGTTTATGATAACGAAAATACAATAGTGTATTTTTTAGTTTTTGTGGAAGTCTTTTGATGGTCTTGACTGTAAAATGTATTGCGCAATATCGTTTAATAATTAAAATAACTAAACACATACGTAAGTAAAAAAAAATAAACTGTTTACTTCACTCTTTTCAGACCATCTAATACAGCCTTAACGAATAAAGTGTACAGCGCATTCAATATTAACTGGGTGTACGTCTTCCCGGAACTTTATATTGTTTTAAATGTTTGTTGACATTTATAGGGAATGGAGATCAAAAAAAAAAAATGTAGAAATACATTAAGTTGGCAAAAATACATTTAACGATTATTTTGAACTTTATATTTTTTTCTGCACTTTTTTAATTTTAAAACATAAGACATGACGTTGTCAACATAAATGCAATTTAAAGACGTAATAAAAACCATTATTTCAAATTCAAGTGATGTCAAGTTTTGATTCACTCCATGCTTCAAAATTAAACAATTACAAGAATACCAAAAGTTTTCATTATATATGTATATACATAGGTACATATATATATACGTATATATATATATATATAAAGTAGCTTATTATTTTTCGAAATTCTACAGGTACTTCCATTATAATATCATACAAATATATAAACTATAAAAATTAGGTTACCTATTTTCATAAATACTATTTAAATAAAAATAATATTTCTATTTATAATGTCTACAATTTTAATGCGATGTAAAATTAAAAAACCGTCAAATATTTAATAAATATGAAAATGCATTATTGAACTTTTATATGTTTATGTATTACTTAATAGACAAAATCGATACATGGTATTTTCATAGATCATAAATTAGTTATAAATTATTAATTATTTTTTTTATTAAATTTATTTAATTGTATTTAAAATTTGAATTGCTACTATATTTAAGAATTTAATTTGTGGCCCTAATATTTTTTTTAATTTCTTTTGATATAATTTTTAATTTAAAACTTCAGATTTAACATTTGATCATGCGGTTTCTCAAAATATTCATAACTATATTTAATAGATATTAAAAAATATTTATTCAATATCTTTTTTTTAAATTTATTCGGAATTGTTTTACTAAATAGCAGTAATATATATTTACAATATTTTCAACCAATTACCAGTGACTAACCTAATCGAAAATGACCAAAATGAAACAACTATCCGATAAGTTGGTACTTAGTCTGTATTCTTCTAATTTTAATTTATATCTAACACGGACTAATTTGTCCGTAATATCTAGTAAGTAAATATTTATAAAGATATTAAAATATATTCTTTTATAAAAACTGAAATTTTGTAACTTAAAGTAAATATAATAATTATAACATTAAATTTAACTGTATACACTAATACGCTATACGAAGTATATTATAATAATATTAAAGTCGTAATACAATATATTAATTATTATATTATTAATTATGTACAAATTCTTCTACTTCCTATGTCATTACTCATAATGAATAACAAAATATAAATAGAATCATTAATTATAAATATTAGTATTATAGCATAGAATAGACCAATTTAGTATATTCTATGATAATATCATAAACTTAATGATATAGTGTTTATAATCAACGCTAGAACGCGTGCCTCATACAATTTTTGTTGCATACAAACTATGATCAGACTTAGTTGGGATTTTCTAATCGGTATTATCATGATTGTAACAAAGTTCGAACGATTCCGTTATGACTGGTGTAAAACCTTACCATTCGAACTCAAATGTGAATATGAATGAAATTCAACAAATTTGTTTGAAAATAACACTTATGAAGTAAATATAAATAATCGCAGTGATACATTGAATTTATGTAAATATGACTAGTATGTAGTTATAGAAACGGATCAAGAAAGTGTTTGTTGTCAAGAAAATAATAAAATAAAACAAGTTAGTGACAAACATGAATACGTTACAAAAAATTAGTATTGGAACGTGATGTATTAAATATTTCACGTTATAAATTAATTTTAAAATCTAAAGAAAAAAAGAATTGAGCATAAGTGAACCACAAAATAAAGTTTGGCAATACTTGGCTTACAAAGAATTTATTTCATGGATAAATGCATAAACTGTGATCGACAAAAGTCACAAAACAGAAATACCATCATGTGAAATTCATAAAATTAGACAGGCTTATCCAGAAAAAAAATTGTGCTTATGTAGGATTTCAGCCCAACGATAATCTTCTTACCCAATTTCTTACAATATATAAAAATTTAATGTTTTATGTATTTATATTTAAACTATATATTATTGTTATACAAGCTATTGATTTTTTTTAGTACATATAAAATAAAATACTTGCGAATTCTAAAATAATTTAAATTGTCAACTACGGTTGTATACAATAATTTTAATAATAATAAGTTAAAACAACTAGTACGTAGGTAATAAAATACATTGTTATTTGTTATTATTATTATTATTATTCATATTAAATTAATAATATTATATTATAACGCAATGATAATAATACAAGTTTAGAAATGTATAAAAAATATTTAAAAGCTTAATACTGTTTAAACAAACAATCAATCAACTGAGAACTCACCAGATTTTTAGTACATATAAACATTGTATAGGCCACCGATAATAAGTAGTATCTTATAACGTCTCAACTCGGAAACTATTCAACAAATATTATAGATACTTATCATTTTTTTAGTCACATTTTTTATAATTTTCTAAATACAGGTCGATTTTGAGTGTTTTATGATCCTTCAAGTACCTAATTAAATGTTTTTCCTTAGTTTATATTTTACACAATTAGTGAAAAATAAGTAAACTTACTAATTGAAAATATACATTATAGACGAGAATTATATCTTGATAAGAAAAGACTCATTAATAAATAAACGTGAATATTCTATTTAAAGAATAATAATTATTTGAAATAAATAAATTTGCTATAAAAGTTCAGTTTTATAATAAATGTTAGGTTTATTATATAACTTATTATATTACTTTTTACCACAATGTGACTATTTTTAAAATAAATCAAATCTACTAGTAGCCTACAGGTACTTTATTATAGATGGTATAGATACTTTTCTGATTCAATCTAAGTTAGAAGGAAACGCTAACATATGATTTCTGTAAAGACATACATCCAAGAAGTGAATTTAATCATGTGTATTATGATAGGTGCATTACTAATATTACTATAGAATATTGAAAAACTCGTTTAAAGTTTAAAACTTTATATGGTGTCTATTTTTTAGTCTTCAGATATCATTTTTATGAAAAATTACTAATTGAGAAATTTTATGTATAGGTAATTGGCAAAAGTGTTGAGTAATAAGTTAAAATTCAAAAAAACAAGCTTTAATTTTAATTTTAGGAATGTTATTTACTAAAACCGTTAAGTATTTGATAAACTATATTCTTAACTTTTTATACAGCCTTTATGTATGCTCAATTTTATTTTATTTCCATCCCAGTATAAAAAAATATCTATATAATAAAAAAATTTACGATTTAATCCGTAAAATGTATTTTAAACTATTAGAAAGTTTTAATAATACAAAATTTTTAAAATTTAGCGAATTAAATTTTATCAAATAACCTAAGCTATTACAAGAAAATGATGAAGCAAATTCTATAATGCTCAAACAAGAAACTAACAACTAACGAACATTAATTGTTCAATTGTTTAGTCTTAAAGAATGTCTATACTACTTGTCTTATATTTAAATATTAAAACAGTTGAAAACTATATCATTATAACACTTTCATAATTTTATAAATGTATTATCTGTACTGAACCAATAATTTTATTTTATGGAATAACAGCTATTGAAATAAACCTATAATAAAAGGTTCAATAATAAACAACGGCATTTTAATTAAAGTTTATAGTAAAATTTAATATCAAATGTAAAAAAAATATTACACAATTTAATTAACTTTTAAGTTTTTGAAATAATATTTAAACAATTTTTAAAAATCATGGACTTGACTTGAAAAATTATGATAATAATATTATGCAATTTATATTCTATTTGAAATTTATTGTATCTTGTTAATTGTTTTTTGACGTAAGTTTAAATTATTGTTTCGCCTTATTCACAAAATCAGGAAACTTCATAATAAATACATTTCAACATTTAATCATCAAAACAAATATAGAATTATAATAATCACTAATTTATTTTAAAATGATAATAAAGAATATAGATTTATATAATAGGTACTATAATATAATATAAGGAGGAAAAAATAGAAAGTTCTGGAAGAATAGAAATCACAAAACCTACTGTAAATTATAACATTAATTTATAAAAATAAATTACACAAAGTAAACATCGATATTAACTTTAGAATATCCGAGCAGGTGAGGAATTCCCTTGAATTTACATGATTTACTTAAAATAAATCAATAAATAGTTTTGAAATGTGAAAATGTAATATCTAAGATAGTAATTTTATTGAAGATACACACTTAAAAATGTGAAATTAGTGAACATCATGTTAAATATCTATTATGGGTGAATGAAAA